AAACCCTGCCTGTCTCTGTTCCTTGCCAGCTGTTTGTGCTGCTAGCAGGAGGGGAAGGGAAATGTCACCTCTTTGTCTCCTTCCTCTCAACTTGTGTCCCCCCTTCCAGGACAGCAGCAAGGGCTAATGGAAAGGAGACAGGACCCCCACTGAAACGTCTCAGCAGATTCTGAGCACTGCTCTCCCCTTTGGTGGCTGTAGGTCGGGGGTCGCTGACCCACAGAAAAATCAGTCGGGGGCCACACACAAGCAAGAAGCAAAAAACTAAACAAACCCCTCACTGACACGGCCCCCAGGGCCCCGACCAAAGAAGACGACCCTCCCCCCGTTCCCCTCGCACACCAGAGCCTAGGTGGGCCCAGGCTAGTAGGGTTTGTGCGCTCCAGCCCGGCGAGGGGACGGCAGGGGCCCTAGATCGCCAGCATGAGCTCCCCAGTGTTGGGTGAGAAGCCCCTGGTCTCGGGCCAGATCCAGGTAAACTGGGGCTACTGGGCCTTAGATTTCCTGCCCTGCTATAGGTTCCCCCTTGCTCCTACTCCATGGCTCTTTTGGGACCTGTAGCTCTGACAAGAAGTTGATTCTCTCCAGATTCCCCCCTTCCTAAAACCTGAATCAGCGTCATTCAGAGTACCCGAGCAGGAGGCAGATTTATTGCAGCATCTTCATCCTGACGTGCTGCTATCATTGCACATTCCACAAGCATTTCAACTGGGGGCTCCAGAGGGGCACTGCCGTGTTCCAGAGATAGTGAATGATTTCATGTCTTGGCTCTAGCATGCAGCCTTCCTGGCTTAGGGAGGAGAACACTTTCCCAGCGAGGGGTTACTGAAATGTCAGGTTTGGAAAGGGCAGCCCACACAACAGGTGGTAAATCACATGGTCGGTCTAGCCAACTTATGCATCAAACTGGATGGTGTGAAATTGTCTTTAACTCTTGTGCAAACAGGATTCCTCCAAATGCAAAACTCTTCTTTGAAGTTGAATTGGTGGATATTGAATGATATCGAAGAACTTGGTTCTGTGCTGCTGTGAATTCATCCATGCGCGAGATCTGCAAACTGCAATTCTGTTCTTACAGCTTCAGGAGAGAGTTACAGCTGTGGCCTTCTGTATTGAAAATCATTGGTTTTCTCCCCTTCCCCCCAATTGCTGTACAGTAAAACATCACTAAATAAAATAGTTTATACATGCAGCTAGTTGAACTTTTTTTTTTTCTTGAGTGTCCCTACTTCAGTAAACTGACCTGGAAAATCCGTTCTGCTGCAGTGGAAGAAGTTTTGTACAGTCTGTTGCAACAAAGGGAGAAGGGAAAAGCACTTCAATTGTCTCGGTTTTCCCCTCCACATTGACCTGGCTGTTGAACCCTCCCTTCTATACCATTGCACTTCTACCTTCCTTTAAGCCCCTAGCAGTGCCTGCTTCAGACCCATGTACGCTGGGTGTCCACTTTTTAGCTTTGTGCAAGGAAAATTCTATAAGCTGAGCAAGCAAGCCCTGGCCAAATGCTTACTGCAGTTGGCTTAGTTGTCTTTAGTGATACAAGAGTGGATTTTTAGAGGTTAATTAAACTGCACTCTACAGGCAGTCCCGGGTTACATGGATCTGACTTACATCGGATCCCTAACTACAAACGGGGTGAGGCAACCCCGCACTAGCTGCTTCCCCCCAGCAGACCAGGGAGACGCAGAGCGGCTTTTCTCAGCAGACACCTCAGCTTGAGAATAAAGGACCGAGGGAAGTGAGGTGTGGGAGAATAAAACTGAGCTCTGGAGAAATGTCTGGCTAGAGTTTCCCCTACAATATGTACCAGTTCCGACTTACATACAAATTCAACTTAAACCTACAGTCCCTATCTTGTACGTAACCCGGGGACTGCCTGTACTTGGAAAGAGCAGGACAAGACACAGCACTAGCAGCTACCTCTCAGTAGTGTTCCAGGCATAGCCCAAGGTTTAGTTGGACCTTGCGGAGTAATGGTATCTGGTGCCTTTTTACCTCTGTAAGTAACCACTGGAACAACTTAGCAGGGGTGGCTGTGGATTTTCATATCAAGACTGGATGTCTTGCTCAACACTTCAGTTCGTCTATAAGGTGCCACAGGACTCCTTGCTGCTTTTGCTCAAGTGTGTGGACTAGGATTTCTTTGGGGGAGTCCTAGGATCTGTTGAGATCAAACCCGATGATCAGTAGCCTTAGCTCTGAATCGAGGTTGGGCAGGAGCACTGGAGGCTCAGAGTTATGAGAATAAATTCCTGGATCTTAGAAGGCAATAGCAGCCACGAAGAAGCTTAATCCCTCTCCCCCAGGAAGAGCCCTTCTCCTTTTGGAAGCTACAGTCCCTCCCGTGATTCCAGCTGGGGCCGTTTCCCACAGGAATAGAAATGGATAGCAGTCTGGGTCCTGTGGAGGAGCATTGAAAATGTTGGCTCAGTTGAACACATGCTTACTGAGGAGGAGAGTGGTGCAGCTGCTTAGTGTGTAGTTCTAAACTGTACAGACTGGAAGCTGCAGCCTTCTGCATAAGTGGCACAATCTCGTAGTTGAGGCGAGAAAGGCAGAGTTCAGTTCTGTTCCCCCCCGCTGCAGAAACATGCTAATACCTCAGAAGGTCATCAGGTCCTGCCTCACTGCAGCAGACTGGACTAAGAAAATAACTCAGAAATGGTGTGGGTTTGTCCAAATCATTTAAAACCTCCAAAGAGAGGGATCCCAAACCCTTTGGAAGCCTATTCTGACACCTCGTTTTGCCTTGTAGTTAGTCTTTGCTACTATCTAACTCTAAATAGCCCTCGGTTCCAGAGGGTACAAGTGATGAGCTTCGCGTTGAATGGACATGCAGAACAGGACTCCTTTCAGATCACTGGTGAGTGCCTGGAGTCATAAGGCCTCACTATTCTTCCAGACTGTCCTTTGCATTGGGACAGTTTCATGTAGCACGTTTAACATTGCCTCTTGAGAAACCGCCAGCTCGCCTGAGGTCCTCGTCCCTTATTTCCTTACAGGGAACTCTACTGACCTAATCTCAGGGTTTGTTAGTCTGTTTTCTTGCAGTTCCTTGTCCTGATCCCACTGCCCTCGTGCTTGCCATTCCTTACTTATGAAATCTGTCAATTCCTGGTTGCTTCCACATTCACAGCACTTCCTCCACGTTGATCTAAGTGTAAAAGGGCTGTTGTCCTGAAACAAAAACAATTCCAGGGATTGATTGAACCAACCCGGCTCTGGGGCGGGGGGAGGGGGTATTGACACAAAGTTATTTCCCCTTTATGAATGTTTACCACTTAAAAGCACTTTTAAGACTTTCAGAGGCACACTATCAGGTGGCATGGATGATTGATTTGCAGGTTTTTATACCCAGGAACTGTGGCACCCGAAGTATTGGAAGAGGAGCAGTGCAGGGGCTGGTATTAAACATGCAGATGCTATAGAGGAGCGAAGTCGGGGAGCAGTTTTGCAACATGCTTGCCCCAGACCTGGTCAGCAGAGCGTCCTGGCCCACCATGGCACTGCTCCAGTGTTGGTAGTTTGAGCACTGTAGAATGCCAACTAGGATTTGTAGCTTTGATTTCCATTGCGTCTCGACTTCAGAATTTACGCCTAGGGCTTCTCAACTGACTGTGGCCTTTGGGGATGCAGACGGCAGATCCAGCAGTGGAAAGTTCCCTTTAAGTTGTACATGCTCAATACTGCCACGCTAGCAGCTCATGGTGGTTTAAAGGTGCCTGCGTGAGGATGGGCAACACCTGGGAGTAGATCACCTTAAGATCCCAGGATTGTTAACGACGTGTCACTGGGCCTTACAGCTGCAGAGACACAAGATGCCTGCGGCTCGATGTCAGACCAATGTCTGCTGAAGAGCGTGTGCTGGCTCCAGCAGCTGGGGACAGATTACTTGTTCAGTGCCTATTCTACTCATTCCCTTTGAAGCACCTGGAATTGACCACTGCCGAAGACTTAGACCCCTGGTCTAAAGATGTTAAGTTTAGATTAATCAACTAATTGAATAGCTGATGGAAGTTGCATCGACTATTCGATTACTTGACAGGGCACCTCCGAAATGTAGCAAGAGCATCTCAAAGGCAGGAGCGCGGGGCAGTCTAGCAGTCCCCTGTTGGCCCCATGTTCCCTGCTTTTGAAGTCAGAAGCACTGCCAGTTCCCTGCAGTGTCCCTGACCTCCCCCCATGGAGAAACCAGCTCTCCCCAGTACCAGCTCGTGCTCCCCCTCCCTGCCTGATAGAGGAGGGATGGGGGAAGTGACTTATCGTATAGTCGGCTAGTTGTCTACCTCCCTACCTTGGTCTGGCCCAGAGTGGCCCTTACATTCTTAGCTAGAACTGTACACTACGTTGTATGACCAGGGGCAGGAAGTAATGTTAGACCAACAGTTATTGGTGAATGAGTCAAGCTTTTGCGCTCTAAGAAGTTGTCTCAATTACCAATTTGTCAGTATTACACAGGCTTTGTCACTCGGGTATGTGAAAAAACCACTCTGCACAACAAGGCTACGTCTACACTGTGCGTTGTTGTGCAAGAAGAGATGCAAATGAGGCACCATTTTTGCAGAAGGGGCTTTTGCACAAGGAGCTGTCTACACTGGTTGACATCTACACTCCAGTTGAACACCCACGGCTGTCCCCATCAGCTGACTTGGGCCTGAGCTCTGCTGTCTATACTACAATTTTATAGCCCCTAAGCCTGAGGCAGCTGACCCAGGCCAGTTGTGGGTGTTTCACTGTAGTGTAGACACACACACATTCTTCAGCTGGGCAACATTGAGTTTTTACACACACATTTTAATGAGGCAAAAACAAGACACTCCAACAAAGCTCAAAGACGACTTACTGAAGAATGCCTTGGTTTTATTACAAAAGAGAATGATCACTTTGATCAAAATGAAAAAGTTTGCTCACAACTTGTACGTGAAGAATTCTCAATACAAACATCCACCCCAAACACCATTGATTCAATGCCTTTTTAAAAAAGGGATGCAACCATTTTGCACTGCATTAATTTGTGACCCCAAGTTAAATAGAAAATACATGCTACAAATTTCAAATGTTGACATTACCGGATACATTATATGATCATGGCAATAAAGACTCTTTAGGGTACTGCTCACTGGGACCATGAAAAATTTCAAAGGAGGAGCATGGCAGGAAATGAGGATTTTGGATGGCGAAGAGAAGAGCAGGTAAAGATGAAAACAATCAAAGAGTACCTGCTCATGTTCAGACACTGTTCTATATTGCTCATCTCCCGTAGTGGCTACTGTGAAACACCGGACAGGAGAATTTCCTCACTGCTTGAAAGACAGCTTGAAGGATTTAAAAATGCCTACTGAAGCAATGCTAACTCAGAACAGAACAAAAAAGCCTCCAGAGAAGTTTCCATAAGTTAGTGTGGGAAATAAAGTTGCATTGATGGTAACAAGCAATAGTTACCATACCTAGATCGATGTATCATTTACCAACACACAACTCTTGCTTCCGGTATCCTGTGAGCATGGGCCCACTTCACATGCAAAAAGACAAAGCTGCGATATTATGATAGTTCATTTGTTCACACCCCTAATTTAAAAAAATATATTTCCATACTCCATCTCTACTGAAACTCTACAACAGACGCCAGTCTCTCTTCAGCTCAGGTTGGAGAAGTATAATACTGTCCGTAATTCCACGCATTCTGGTAGTTGTACTGGAAAAGAGAAATCATGGGATAAATGAGCAGAAAATAACTTTCAATATTTGAGAAGCTGTAATTTCAACAGACTACCTCCACCCGTCCCACCAGGAAAGATCACTTATCCTGCATCGACTGGTCACGTACCCGGAGCACTTCAAGGTGGTCCGGTGCGTGGAGACCACGTGTTACCAGACTGGAATCTTTAATAGCTCTGCTATTCCACAGAGCTCCATGTGCACCCTCTGAACTTGTGAGAGCATTAAGGGCAGGGAGGCCGTTGGCTTCTGGCAGCTCTCTCCCAAATCAGCCTGTGGTTGGTATGGACTCTGGATCCCAGCACTGGGGTCTGACAAGGAGCCCCCTCGCGGGATGCTAGGAGTGAGAAATTGTAACTATTTTGGTCAATAATCGAAGCTCTGTTCCCCTGTCCATTTGGTTGGTAGGTTCCTGCTTGGCAAGTCTCAGATACTAGTGTATTTCTGAAGTAGGCTGAAGACGTTGCTGCATCG